AAGGGGCTTAAAAGAGAAAAGAATTGGATAAGGATGGGCTGATTTTTTTCCTTCTTTCTTTCTTCTTCAGCCCACGTGTTCTGCTCTTCTTCTTCTTCCCTGCAGCCGGCAAGGTAACCCAGCCAAGCTGACAGCACTCCCTTGAGAAAACCGATAAAAGCTTGGGTTTTTTTTTTTTTTCCTTCTTTTCTTGTTCTAGGACTGAAATTGAACCCAGAAATTCCCCCCCCCCTCTGCAGAAATCCGGATCTGCTCTACTCTGTCTGTCCGGTTGCTACTCTTGCCGGTTTGTGGATGCAAATTCCTTCGATTTTTCGGTAAGAACAGCCACCAATTCCTCTGTTCTTCCTTAAATTAACTTGGGTTACTCTAATTTGTGCTTTTGGTTCTCCAATTTTTTGGTAGCCGTGAGTCCCCTGCAGAAATTGCCGTCGGCTTCTTCTCCCTCCAGCTCCGATTCTAGCTGGAAAATTCTGGTATGTTGACAGCTCCTCCAAGCCCGAAATTTTATCAATTAGTTGCTGAATTTGTCCATTTATTTACTGCCCTTTGTGTCCGAATTTTCTACTGGAAATAGGGGAGAAATTTAACAGTAATTAGACCATGATTTAACTTAATTCATGTAGAAAATTAGTTTATTTTGGCTGCTGTGATTTTTGGAGAAAATCCCGTGAGATTAGTTATGGTTTTGCCTATTTATGGAAGTGCAGGTACTGTTCATGGCGTGATCACTGTTCACGGGTACTGTTCATGGGTATTGTTCACGCACGGATCACCAACAATTAACGGGGATTAAATGATTAATTTGTAATATAAGAACAAATTTGGAGATGTCCGGTCATGTGAAGATCGATAGAAATAGTATGTGATTAGGGGTAGTCCTAATGATGATTTCAGTTTGAATTAGTGGTAGTGCGGTATTAATTTTGGAATATTTTGATTAGGTTCTTGATCATTGGTTGCCCTAGCACTTGGGTCGAGTCGTCTGTTTTACAACATTTGAGGTAAGTAAATTTATGATAAGTAAATTTATGGTAATACCCGTACAGTTTTTAAAAGCGTGTTTTGATTTGTTTTTGAGGTAGTGGCGGGACTAAACTCATTTTATATAAAAGTAAGTATGACTAATTTGAAGTGAAATTTTTATGCTTTTCATTAAATTGAGTATGCCTACTTGAAATTTAATTGATTGTCCTGATGTTCTGAAAGTGATTGGTGAATTATGATTTTTCTGTTAACTTCTGCCTGTTTTGTTTCCGATGTGGTTATGTTATTAGTGACCCTGCTAGTGGGGGTTTATAAATGCTAGCACATGTCGACATGTTATTGATATTTATAACACTGGTCATGACCTATTGAGGAGACGTTTATTTCGTTTTCGTATTGCAAACTTAAACGGCGTCGTGTTTTCAAAAGTGGAAAAAAAATTAGAAGAGGCTGGGACTCCGTCGAAATGCAGTCTGTGCCGATCAGCCTGCGCCCTCCTTGTTTTGACCTGCAAAAAAGCAGCCACGGTCTGGAGAAAAGAGGAAAGCAACTCTTGGCATTTTGGGATCGATTGTTAGGGAAAAAAAAAAAAAAGAGAGGAAAGTCGGAGGGTAGGAAGGTGAGGAGTAGAAACAGGTTTAGGGTTTTTGCTTTTAAGGAGTAAATAGGTTAAAACGGTGAGTTTTGAGGGGTTTTTCTGTAGAATTCTGGAGCAACCGACATAAAAAAAAAGGAGCCGATATGGCGTGTGA